GGGATTCCGAGAGTACCATTGATAGTACTGGAAAGAATTCTGTGAGTACCATTGGCAGTCCTGCCAGGGATTCTGCCAGTACTATTGGAAGTCCTGGCAGGGACTCTGTGAGTACCATTGAAAGTACTGGAAGGTATTCTGTAAGTACCATCGAAGTGTGGCAGGGATTCCGAGAGTACCATTGATAGTACTGGAAAGAATTCTGCGAGTACCATTGGCAGTCCTGCCAGGGATTCTGCCAGTACTATTGGAAGTCCTGGCAGGGACTCTGTGAGTACCATTGAAAATTCAGGATGGTATTCTGTAAGTACCATCGAAGTGTGGCAGGGATTCCGAGAGTACCATTGATAGTACTGGAAATAATTCTGTGAGTACCATTGGCAGTCCTGCCAGGGATTCTGCCAGTACTATTGGAAGTCCTGGCAGGGACTCTGTGAGTACCAGTGGAAATCCTGGCAGGGACTCTGCGAGTACCAGTGAAAGTAGTGGAAGGAATTCTGTAACGTCGGGTATAAACACATATTTTCTATGTTTAACCTGCCAGCTAAACAAAGAAAATATCACAGATTCCTCCATCAATGCTTATGAGTGTTGATGGAGGAATCTCCTGCTGTTTTCTTCGTATTCTGAAGAATACCCGAGCAAAGACGGCAGCTGATTGGCTGCTATAGTATCTCTATTCGGCCGAGAATTTTCCGACATGCTCCTTTGATCAGCTGATTGAGTAATGCAGGTCGTAAGGGTGCCGACAGCGGCCCCTCATAGTAGTGAAAGGGTGTAGGTGGCTGTATGCTGCAGATGGTTACCCTGTGCACTGAAATACTCCCATAACCTACGTTCGATGGCCTCATGTGTTCGTGTGCATGATTTCACACCAAGTGCGGAGCAGATGCAGAACAGAGCAGTTACAGAACGCATCAAAAATGCATCCAATGTATTCTAATGGTATTTTGGGCTCTAGTTCACACCATAGCGTTCAGTTCCAGAGCATGTTGAAAAACTGCAGCATGCCCTATCTTTTCTGCTCTGGAATGCACCAAAACGCATGCTAGCACATCAAAAATGCATGCAAATGCCCTGGAATGCACTGAGAGCGCATTTTAAGCTAATAAAAAAAAAAAGAAGAATGTCCCAGAACGCGTCACAAAGCACTGCACTGCATATGCAGAAACCCATGCAGATCTGGTGTGAACAAGCCCTAAAAGAAGCGTTTGTTTTCTTTCAGTGTGCATGAAACCTTATGAATCTGAACGCAGCAATTTTTACATCCATGTACATGAGCCCTAACCATGCAACTAACAGAGAGTGATGGAGCTTAGCTGTGTCCAGGGTTGTATGCCTAAACCCATGTGCAGGCTTGTCATCTGCAATTTATGTTTGATGTCCTCATGCATGCGGATGTCTGAGGTCTTATAGATCTGAACACAGCATTTATTCATATCCTCAATCATGCAAATGGCAAGGAGTCAGGAAGCCTAGCTGTATCTAGTGTTGTTGCCCCTGAATCCATGTGCGGGTCTACGTAAAATACACCTGCAATTTCCATTCGACAACCTCACATGCCCATGTGCATGGGGCTAAATGTCTCTCAAAGTTTTTTTTACTGCCTGTGTGCATGAGACCCTATGGATCTGAACTCATCATTTTGTTTCTTTGTGCAGATGAGCCCTATCAATGCAACTAGTAGGAGGTCAGGGAGCCTAGCCGTATCCAGGGTTCTATGCCTTAATCCATGTGCGGATTTGTCATCTGCAATTTACGTTCGATGTGTCAGTGGGCATGAGCCCTAACCAGAGCCGTAGCTAGCTCCTTTTGTGCCGAGGCAAGAACAAAAAAACGTGCCCCCCTCCAACAGGCGTGTGACGTCACCCAGCACCGACCACGCGCGGCTTCATGTGATGTCATGCTTCATGCTCCCTCCCCTGATATTTCCCTTTTCAAATAGAAAAAGAAGTTGAGGACACAAAGTCCTCAATCTTTTTTTCTGCAGCCTCTGTTCTAAATGAATGGAAAGTACAGAGTCTTCCCATTCATTCAGAATTTTTACCATCACCAGTTTCTGAATGGGGATAAGCCTCTGTAGTAAGTGCTACTACCCATTCAAAAACTCATGAATCAACAGGAAGTGATGTAAAGCACAGGAAGCCTGGCCGAGCAAGCGGTGAGGAGAGAGAGAGAGCAGCTCTCTCTCCTCACTGCTCGGCTATGCTGCTATGACAGCGGCTCCCTCCTCCACCCTCCCCCTGAAGGCTGCAGCGCCCCAGAGAAGCTGCAGGCTGTGCCACCCCACTTCTCAGTGCTGTGCTGAGCCCTGGCTGCGCTCCCCCCCCCCACCTGCGCCCGAGGCGAGAGCCTCAGTCACCTCGCCCTCGCTACGGCCCTGGCTCTAACCATGCAACTATCAGAGAGTCAGGGAGCCTAGCTGTATCCAGGGTTCTATGCCTTAATCCATGTGTGGGTTTATCATCTGCAATTCACGTCCGATGTCCTCATGCATCCATGCGCGTGGAGTCTTATGTATCTGAACGCAGCATTTTTTACGTCCGTATAAGCCCTAACCAAGCAGCTAGCAGGGAGCCTAGCTGTGTCCAGGTTTCTATGCTTGAATCAATGGGCAGGTTTATGCAAGTAGTGTGAATATATGCCTGTAATTCAGGCTTCATTCACACTCCCCACTTCTTTTTGTCCTCTATATATGGAGGAATATCAGTCACGCTAGATGCTGTGTTTATGCTTCTAGAGCAGGGGTATCAAACTCAATTTACTCAGGGGCCACTCTACAATTTTTTTTCTCCCATGGGGGGCCGCTTGCCAAATTTCCTACTTGAAAATAAAATGTAACTTTATCTGGTATGGTACTACGGACACTAATACACACAATAAGGCCCTATTCATATCTGTAGGTTTAGGTGTGATTAGGGTTTCATGCGTCAGGAACTTGCGTTTTCCTGCAGCAGGAATCCCTAATCTGGCGTTAACATGCAGCAGCTGTCACCCATTCAAGTCAATGATCACATGACAGCAGCTACATGTAAACACCTGCACACCGCATGTAATGGTATGTGATATGATTACAAGAAGTTAGAAAATGCATTGTAATCATATCACATATCATGCTACAGGAAAACACAAGTTCCCACATTTACAATAATACATCCCCCCTCCCCCCCGTACACATAAAATACTACCCCTGCACATATAAAATAATACAATCTTCTACCCCCCGTACACCCACTTGTAAAATAGAATGCAGAGCCCCCTCTCCCACTTACCTTTTTGTAGGGAGGAGGCACAATCCCTGGTGATTAGTAAGGTCTGCTGCAGACCTCACTAATCCATCCTTTCGGCCGGCGTTCACTGAAAGACTTCAGAGCGCTGGCCAAAAGGATCCGAGTTCCGGTGTTCTATCGAAAGTTCCAACTCCTCGAGATCTCCAACCATCTGACTTCCGGTTTAGTCAGAAGAGGTTTAGCGGAGAAGGCTGTACTGCACGTGCGCCACCCGCGGCACTTCCCTATACACATACTACACAGCAATAAAGTATTAAAATGAACTAGGGTCAGACTAATCCAGCACGTTATTCATCTGAGTGCCCCACTCAATACGTCCATCGCTTGCGCCCATATTGAGTGGGGCAACTAAGATTAATAACGTGCTGGATTAGTCTGACCCTAGTTCATTTTAATACTTTATTGCTGTGTAGTATGTGTATAGGGAAGTGCCGCGGGTGGCGCACGTGCAGTACAGCCTTCTACTAACTAAACCGGAAGTCAGATGGTTGGAGATCTCGAGGAGTTGGAGGTTTCGATAGAACACCAGCACAGAGAAGCAGCTATAGGGTCTTCTCTGTGCCGGTCCGACAGAAATGGAGACTGTGTAGCTGCTCCCGCATGTTAGCTGGCTGCGGGCCACATAGTACCGGCTTGCGGGCCGGTACTTTGAGACCCCCTTTCTAGATGGTTTGAATGACGGGTGTTTACATACGTTTATATGCATACCAAATCCTAGAATCAAAACACTTTGACATGCATTTTTGAGTTGTTTAGAAGTTTAACTCGATCCCTGCATGCAGCTGACTTCTATTTATTGAACACGCAGACAAACACATCTAGACGCAAATGTGTGACTGTACCCATTCATTATATATATAAGTTTACACAAGCATCTAATCGCACCTAATAGGAATGAGGGCCCATTCACACCGGATCTGTTGCGATACGTTTTTTCAATGCTAATAGATGGGTGTCAAAAAGTGAATAGGGCGCTTCATTGCATTAAAAAAAAAAAAGTAGAACCTGCACTTTTTTTCAGCACAACGTAACACAACAGATCCGGTGCGAACTAGCCCTATTCATTTTTTGATGTCTATCCGTCAGCATCCGTCGCAAAACGTACCACAACGCAACGGATCGGAAGGTACAATTGCAAGTCAATGGACCCAAGTCAAAATCCTCCCGAGTTTGGTGTGAATGCACCCTGAAGCCTTAATTTTGACATCCTCATACATCTGTGTGCTGAGTTCTTACGAATCCGAACGCAGCATTTTTGAAGTCCATATGCATGAACCCTAACCATGCAAATAACATGGAGTCAGTAATGGCACAGTTCAGCACAGGTAATGCGGATTAAGGTTGTGATGAAGGCTTTTGTGTATAATTCAGGTTTGTAGAGGACTGTGTGCGGAGTAGATGATCCCGGTTCTAGCGCTGGGAAGAAGCGTCATTCCAGGTGAAGCAGCGTCGCGCTGTCCGTACCCAGGAATGTAGCAGAGCTCCGTGTGCAGCGTTGATTTGGGGGGAGGCGGCGCCGGGCGGCAGCAGCACAGGGGGATCGCCGGCTGCTATACGGGAGGCGCTGTTCGGGAATTTTGCAGTCGGCTCTTTGCACCCGGCGCTACATTCACACGAACTACCTAGGAGATAAAGAGGCAGACAAACCGACAAAGCAAACCATCTGTATATACCGGCAGCGCTAAGCCTGCGATCGTTCTACAGGCACACATGGAGGGAGACGAGAAGCTGCGCTTACTAAAAGGAGAAACACGGTGAGCAACGACTTTTCTTACCATCACTTTTGGAGTTTATCTGTCCCACATGCTGATCGCTGTGTTCCCTCCTCAGCATTACATTGGAGGCTCTCCATGTCTCATCAACTCAACCCAACTTTCTCTATAGTCTAATATAATTTATATATACTACGTAATGGTACCAAGGGCAACCAGAAATGGGAGTGGTTACCCATAGCAACCAGGGTGCCTATTTTCCTAGCAACTGCAGTTTGGTTGCTATGGGCAACAGTACAACTTCTTTTTTCTTTTTTTTTTTAAAGCACATATATACAGAGGGGGAAATTTATAAAAACTGGAGCAGCTGTGCATAGCAACCAATCAGCTTCTATCTTCAGTTTGTTCTGTTAAGACTTGTAAATGAAAGATAGAAGCTGATTGGTTGCCATGCACAGCTGCTCCACTTTTTGTCTTATCCAGTTTAGATAAATTCCCCTCAAAGTCTTATCCTGTTTTAGCCCCAAGAACACATATACAGAGTTAGGATGGCAGCTGCCATTGGCTGTCCCTGTTATTACCCCAAGAACATATATACAGAGCCAGGATGGCAGCTGCCATTGAGTGATCCTGTTTTTACCCTAAGGACATATATACAGTCAGGATGGCAGCTGCCATTGACTGTTCCTGTTATTACCCCAAGAACATGTATACAGATTCAGTGTGGAAGCTGCCATTGGCTGTCCCTATTTTTACCCCAAGAACATGAATATAGAATCAGGATGGCAGCTGCCATTGACTGTCCCTTCTACAAACGTCCAGTTCCCTGGTTTCCATGTTGATCCAGTACCATCTGGACTTTCCGAGTTCGGTCTCCTGATGTCACCAGCACACTGAAGAATCGTGTTGGTGACATCTTATTTTCTATATTGAATAGAGCGGGCCATCCACAAAAGTAATTTCAGCACCCAATCCAAGGGATTATACCGGTAAGGCTGGGTTCACACCAAGGCGTACCGAATATGCGCGTTTGCCGCGCGTTTCGTGCTGCGATTCGCAGTAAAAAACATGCAACAAACGGGCGTTTTCCTAATGGATACGCGTGGCAAATACGCCCCAAAGAAGCTCCTGTACTTCTTTGGGCGTTTTGCAGCGCGTTCCTACACGCTGTTAAACGCCCAGGTGGGAACCATGCCCATAGGTAATCCATTGGTTTTCACATGTTGATCGTTTTATAGCGCGTAGGAACGCGCTGCAAAACGCCCAGGTGTGAACCAGGCCTAAGGCGTGTGGTGGGACACCTACCGGTCTCGCCCACTGGGACTAAAAAACCACCACCGCTTTTAGATCTGTACAGCCTTTGAATGCAGCTCTATAATTACCAATGGGGGAACTAATACAAAGTTCTATCTCAACTGGTGCGGTTGCCCATAGCGACCAATCAGCTTTTGTCTTTAATTTTTTTTTCCACACCAATTACATTGCGTTCCAGTGTGTCTAGCTGCCAGAATGCAGTGTATCGCATACTAAACTCCCCCTGCATTCTGGGACGGGAAGTGCATGCACTATTTTTTGCCATTGCACTGGACCGGAAAGCAGGCATTATTGTGCCATGCGTTCTGGTGTGGGCGTGGGGGGAATGGCTATGGGGCCATTGACTTGAACGCAGGGGGGGGAGTTAAGTATGTGATACAGTGCATTCCAACAGCTAACCATGCTGGGACACACTGCAATTGGTGTGAACAAGGCGTGGAAATGTAAAAGCTGATTGGTTGCTCTTCAGTTGTGACAAAGTCTGTCTCAGACAGTTTTTACTTCGTCCGTGTATATTGTAGAATTTAGATTTGTTATCTAGGGCAGCGTTCAGGGACGAAAGAAAGATTGTTCCCAACCTGCATTCAGAGGGGAGTGTTCCGCAGTCGTTTCCAGACGTATGTGTGTAATCACACGTGTATGGGTGCACATGCTTGAATTCATTGTGGTGCTTAGAATAAATGAATAGGCAACCTCAGTACTCCATCTGTAGTGATAGAACAAATCCCATCATGCCTCTCTCTCTCTCCCTCCAAGAGAGAGGCTGTCGGTCTTGCAAAGCCTCATGGGATTTGTAGTTCCACACTACCTGGAGTTCCAAGGTTGCCCACCCTTGTTCTAGCAAAGCATGAATGTATGTGCATATGATTCTAAACGCTGCGAGGAGCTTTGTGACGCATTTTCTCTCTCTTCCATTTTCTGTGTTTTTCCTACTTTTCTCTAAAGTCTATCCACTGCTTTTTTTTTTTTTGGCACTCTAGTTGGTTTGCCTTGTTCATCATTACCTTTTTATCCTTTTCTATATATGGATAATATGACAGAACTTGATATTGGGTGAATAAGGACATTCTTTGCAATACCAAAATATGAACCTATGCACTTTGGACGTTCGACCGCAATAATCTTGTTTACTGTGAAATGCCCTTTGACTTTATTGTATGGTTGATTGCCTTGACTTTTAAGATTGCGATTTTGTATTTGGTAAAGTATTTGTCATTTCTTTTGGTTGTTTAAATTTCAAAGAAAACTTTGAAAAAGAAAATAAAAGAAGCTGATTGGTTACCATGGACAACTGTTCCAGATTCTGTCTGCTCCAGTTTTAGTAAATTCCCATCATTGTTTGCTTGGGGAACTGTTACATTGTTTAACTCTGCCCTAATATTTACACTTTTGTTAATCATTGCTGGGCAGGAACTCATATAATCTTCATCAAGGCCCCAACATACTTGCGAATGGGGTCGATCGTATGCGTGTCATAAATTCCTCCATGAGACTCCTGAGATCTGCAGCATGCGGAAGGCGCTAAACAATGCAATGACAGCTGCCAGCACCCGCAGGTTGTTCTCATGTAATCGCAGTGGCTGAACTTGACCATGGACAATCACACCGAGATGCATAAAGTCCAGGTGTGGACGCCTGGAGGTAATCGCATCCTGTGCGGTTACATGCTAATTGCTGCAGGCAGGGACCGCTGTCTTTGTAATGTCGTGAGCCTCCCATCCGCAGCAGAACGCAGGTGTGAATGGGGGCCTTCTAGCGAAATATATTGTTTGGAAATAATCCGTATGTAGCAAAACAATGGTTACCACAGACCAGGGCTGGGCACGCTCCGGCCCTCCAGCTGTTGTGGAACTACAAATTAGCAAAAAATAGATATGTTGTAAAGTTGGAGAAAGTAATGAATAGACTGCAAGTAAGGTGATGTCACCGCACTTGTGCTTCTTTGATGATTCCCCCAGCCCCAGGTCTATACCGATGGGTGGACCTTCATTTATGAGGTTGGGGTAAGTAATGAATGGGGTACAAGTAGGGTGAGGTCACCGCACTTCTTTGACGATTCCCCCAGCCCCAGGTCTGTACCGATGGGTGGACCTTCATTTATGAGGTTGGGGTAAGTAATGAATGGGGTACAAGTAGGGTGATGTCACCGCACTTTTGCTCCATTGAGAATTATGAGTCAAATGGTGCTTGGGCCACCAATGAAAATAATTTTAAAAAGCCTGCAGGGAAAGCACCCTGTGATTCAAATGAGTGTGTGTGATGGTGGTGGGCGGTAGGTTGAAGGTAGGGAGCTGCGCAATGGCACCATGTTCATGTTGCACCCTAAATATGGGAGGAACATGGTATGAAAGGTGGACTTGGCCTTTAAGGAGGAACTTTTACCCTTATCTTTAAAATTCCAACACAGTTACCTTTAGAAATGTTTACAGGGTTATTCACAAAAGGGTGAAGAGTTTGGAGAAGGCAGGAGAAGTGAACAATCTAGGACAACATCGCTGAACTGGAAAGTGAGCTGAATTGGAGAGTGTTTTCCAAATCAACTATTTTGGCCTAGAGTGTTCGCTTCTCCTGCCTTCTCCAAACTCTTTAGTGAATAACCCAGTTAGTATAGATGGTGTAGATGACAATCTACAAACACATACTTATAGATCATTGCAGGTTTTTAATTCTTTGCATAGTTTTTTTTCCTCCCCATTTTTCTTACGGTGGCCATTTTTGCTGAGGGCAGATAAATCCATCTCCCTTTTATTTCTTGGTACTCTGGCACATGTGACTAGACATTTGACTTGGAAATGTGACAATGTGACTAGGACATGTGATCATGCACATCATTTCTGGGGGAAAAAATGCCTCTGCCTGAGATCAGATGACATTTCACAACAATGCACTGTAATGTAACTTTTCCAGGATGCATCTCTTAGGCACAGGCTACATCACTAAGCCCTGGTTCACACCTAGGCGTTTTTGAGCAGTATGAAAAAGTGCTTTTAACTGCCCAACACAAGAAATCCCATGATTTTCAATAGTCCTAGTTCACACCTGAGCAGAAAACGCCTAGCAGGAAAACGCCAGACGCCTGAAAAGATACAGGAGCTTCTTTTGGCAGTTTAAAAGTGCTTTTCCTCCCCATAGACTTCATTGGAAATGCCCCAAAACGTGCAACAAAAGCATGTTGCACATTTTTATGAGCGTTTTTGCGCGTTTATACACGTGTTCTTCCATTGCCCACAATGGTTTATGAGCTGCCAATCAAAAAGCGCTTCTTCATGTACGTGCGTTAAAATGCACAATACATACAAATGTGCACAATGCGCAAATAACCGCATGCTGCTAACCCACAAAAACGGTGCCGCCTAGGTGTGAACCAGGGCTAATGCCTAAGAGGACCAGGAAGTGGAAAAACAGTAATTGTAGGTACAGTAATACCTTGGTTTACAAGTAACTTGGTTTGAGAGTGTTTTGCAAGACAAGCAAACATTTCTGAAAAATTTTGCCTTGATATACAAGCAATGTCTTGCAATAAGAGCAAAATTCTGTAGAAAAGCACCACCCGAATAAGGCTGTAGCAGTGCGAGCGATGAGTCTGTTTAACGACAATGCAATGTCACATTGGATAGATTCCTTGTTAAGGTTTCACGAAATGAAAAAGATTCCATTGAGCCAAGAGATAGCAGTGATTTCGTTAGTGATAGTGAAAGTCGTCCTACACAATCATCCTCCTCTCTCCT